ACAATACTAACTCAATGGCAACTCGAAGCCGACCAACCAAATTAAATCGACCCCGGATTACTTTTATGGCTTTCTCAACGAATCCCCCCTGCCATTGTTTGGCGGAGAAGCGGTATGGTCAGGCCTCCACTTTGTGACACGTCACAACAAGCCAACATATGTGCAGAAATGCAGCTGAAGGCACAAATGTAATTTCAAACAGCGTGTACATGGCTCGGAAGGCAGTGCCATACCTCCACCAAATCCATTCACGGTCTGTCAACTCCTGCGACGTGTCCTTCACAAAGTCCTGGCGAGCAGCGTGAGCATAGCTACCAACGCAACAGCCGCACAAACATTGCCATGCAGTTGCACGCTTGAATGCCAGAAGGCATGCCACAACTTGCATGTCAGAATTCACAAAGCGTTCGACACGGCTTTGTCCACCCCGAAGGGAAAGGGCCAGTCCAGCAGCATATTGCCCATCAGGAGCGCCCCCATGGCCATGAAAATGCCCAGCAGAACCATGGCCCAGCAAAGTGATGGCCTTGGCTCTTGCCCTCTCCCCTCCCCCCTCTCTCCCTCTTTCTCTCGTCCGTCTGCTATGCTCCAAAACCAATGATGCAAGCGGAAAGGAGGAGTGCTTGAACAAAGTCAAACGGACACTTATTGCCCTGTCCGATTTAACCATATTTGCGAGGATACTGGAACAACAAAATATTTAACTGCTAGCTGGCGATTCAAATCATTCAAGGTTCAAGCACTGAATAACAAAGCGACAGCGGTGACAGAAACTGCAGGAACACAAAAAACAGCGGAAACTGAAGGCGACAAATGGCAATGACATCGTGAAACTGGGGCCCGCACAAGAAGCATTGGCAAGCCCTCACCAGAACTCGAAGCCCTTGGAAAAAACGCAAGCTTCGCACCATCCGGATTGCGCGCAACGACTTCAGGGCACGCATGAGCCGCAGGACCACAATACTTCGGGATGCTCCTGGTAGCTGGGCCGCGGCAAGCTCATGCCAGAAAAATACATGCATAGAATCCCTTACCCTGAACAATCAATGTCCCCCCCAATGCTAAATATGTTTTCCCGACAACGTCAAAGTCGCCAGTACTTGAATTATGATGCGCCAAATCTAAACCAAAATTAAATCTGCGACTTCCCACGTCCGACCCCAAATCCAGCTCTGGGGAGCCCTTTCAAACCAATGCTGGACATAAACTAACCCAACACTAGACGAATGCCAAACCAATATTACTGATCGAACTTCATTAGTGAACCCCCTCTGAGCAAAGACGCCCGGTTTTCCCAGCCGACTGCCAGACAATACTACTTTAAAGGCGCCAAGGTTTGGCCAAAGAAAACAACTGCATTCTTTTGGTGCACCTCCGAACTCCCTCTGATTAAAGACGCCCCTGTCCGGCCAAAATTCGAAAACGGGAAAACTACATTTCAACTTGCCACACCTATTGTCGCTAATGCCAACTCTTTTCATTTTTTAGACAGCAAGGTTTGACAAGCTCGTAAAGGTTACCCCCGTTCAAGGCTAGCCCCCCCTCCCAAATACCGCAAAACTCCCTCTCCAGCCCTGGAAAACAAGAAAATGCATTCCTTTGCTTTCGTATTGCAGTCCTATTGGCCAAACAGGGGTCCACACAGGAAAGGACCGGAGAGGACAGGCCAGGTCCAGATAAATCCGAGGGAGCGCCAAGCGACCCATTCGGTTTTCCAAACCTTGTCGACCTTGAGGGGGGGTTGCTAATCAAGCTTCACCATGAAATCAATACTTCAACCAATACTCAAATCACAAAACATCGTGCGGAAATTGCAGTGTTGGGCGATTTTTGGGCACGGAGGAGGGGACCTCATTTGGACGAGCGGCGAAGAGAAATGACCGAGACCGACGGACCGAAAAGGACCGAACCCGAACTCCGGCCCCCGAACAATAATTTGTTTTCCCGCAACCCCCCCCCCCCCCGCATGTGTGTTTTTGTTTATTCGGTTATTGGGGGGGGACGGAATCATTCATTTAGGGGGGCCAAATTGCACATCTTCGCTCAGGGTTGTGCGTTGACTCTGAATCACTTGATTTTGTTGCAAGTAAATACAAGCAGCATCAGTCAACATCACTCTCGCAATACTAGCGCACGGTCTCCCTGCTGCGACCTGACTCACCGCTCCTCCGCCGTCTTGAGCAAGAACTCGCATGAGGAAGTCAGTCACACCAACAAACACCAGAAAGGAGTCGAACCAGTTGGCAAAATCCTTCACGAACCGCCACTGTTCGATGCCGACACGGGCAATCCACTCGGCAAGGAACAAGAAGACCTGTGCGCTGGCCGGTCTTCTCCAGCCTTCTCCTTTTGGCCCCCCTCTGGCCAACAGAGGCGTGGTAGTATGAGAACATGGGTAAATGTTTGGCCCTGCAATGGCAATGACGAATTGAGGGGCGACCTTTCTGAGTTTCTCAAACCTTGCTCAACACACTGTAGTCGAAACATGTGCTGTTTGTGGCAGCGATTGTTGAGATCTTGAATGGACTCGTATTCACATATTGACAATTGTACTGTAGCAATAGCAGGATTTCACATGTTTTTCTTCAGAGGGTCCTGGAGAAGGGGGGGTATCTTCCGGCCGGTGCATTCAAAGCGCTCGTCGGGAGTAAAGGGCGGGATGTGTTTTTCTCCGGGATGTGTGGTCGGCAAAATCGTCCCAAGCTGTCCTCCTCAACGCGCTTGATTGATAGGCAGCTATTGCTTTCAAAGGATTCTAATGTGCAATAGTACTCAGATGTTGGTGACGTGGGTTTGATGTGGCAAACTGTTTTACCTTGTGAAGCTGTGGGATCCGTGCGCCGAGCGCGCGCTAGCATGCCACCTGCAGCAAATGAAACAAACTCTCGTCGATTTCAATGGCAAAGGCTGTTGAATTGTACTTCGCACGCAAGCACGCAAGCGCAACAAAAATCACGCCTGCTGCTCCCCAGCGAGACTGCAAGCCAAGCAGCGAAGATTGAGTCCAATGTTTCAAACCATTCCTGCAAGCTGTCAGGGTTTCGCAGTGAGTGCATGCATGGATGGGGATATGTTTTGAGTATAACAATATTTTATACTTGCTGCTCCCCAAAAAAGTGCTACTTCTAGTCGTTTTCAGGAAAACATTCGTTTTGCCTGCTTGGGCAACGCTGGTTGGTAGCACCAAAGCCGTTCGGGCTTGCGAAGCAGATTGAAGGTTGTGTTGCTGACGTCTTTTGCTAGGAATCCTTCAATCGCTCATGGGCCGTGCCTAGGTTGCATGTCGTACATTTTACGTGAAACACAAAATGTGTGTTGCGAAATCATCTTGGTGTTCTAAAGGCCGCTCTGGTGTTCAAACAATTTTGGTGTGAAACATTTCGAAAAACATAGCTTCTGGAATTGGCGCTGAAAAAAACAATTTAGGGGATTCAGGTGTGATAGATGTAAGGAGAATATATGGTACCCCCCCTCATGGACCCTGGCTTGGTGCGTTTGACCTGTTTTTTTTCCAGTGGTTTATTATTTTTATTGCTTCTTGGATTTTGTGTCAACATTAGGGGTGCCATATGCATATGAAATGCATGCATACATATGTGACAAAAGCAATGACATCAGCATCTGCAATCCGAAAGAATCCCATATTGCGTTAAGTTCTAGGGTTGTCCCAATACTCTCGGTGTTCAATAAGATTCTCGCAAAAGCTTTCCGTGAAACATTTCAATCTCGAATCTTCAATCCAGTGGTAAAATACGTTCGAGGTTTTAGAACAACCAGAATGGATGATTCTCAAGAAAGTTGTTGTTTGTGCAATCCTCAATGTAGAATCCTCAATCCAGCGGTAAAGCACTTTCAATATCGTTTGGGTTTGGCCAGGATTGACAATTCTCAGGAAAGTTTTCCGTGTCATCTTCAATCTTGTAATACGTTCAAGTGCTTCGCGATCCAGTGGTAGACAAACTTTCAAGTGCTTTTGGTGAGCGGTTTGCTTCATGTCAGCTTTGCTCATGTTGACCCTTTTCCAGAAGGCAAACAAAGGTAGGCGCAATGTTGAAGAAAACTGTATTTTACTGTATTTTATGAAGAGGCGCAGGATCATTCGGGGTACTATATATGTGTGTATGTGTGCGTGCATGTGTATATATATATGCATATTCACACACCGTCACCCCCCCCCTCTTGAACTACCTGTCCACAATTGCTCATCTAGTACCTCCACCTTTTGAGATAGAACAAATTTTGTTTCACTGTGCAAATAGAGCTTTAAACACAACTGGTTTAGCTAGAACCCCAGTTTCGAGATAGTTCTAGAATTTGAACCTCTCTTCCCTTGAGCTGTTTCTTGGAACACCGTCTAACAAGTTTAATTTCGGACCTTTCTTTTGCTACAACAGGGCCAGAATGTAAATAACACAAATCGTATTTTGAATTTGCTTGTAGAAGTCCCTTGAATGTTTAGCCATATTCAATACGAACTATATTTAAGAAGAAATATCTATTTGATTCTTACTATCAAAAGCTTGTGTTTGTATTACATTATATTTGACACTTAGATTATATTTCTGAATAAACTCCTATCTAACTTCTTTAAGCTGCAATTGAACATAAACACATGATTGAAAAACTATATCCTATCTAAAATATCTTCAACAATCCAATTCTAGTTGAATTAAAATCTATTTGGAAAGAAAGAATAGCATCGTCCATTTCACGCCAAACTGGAAAGCCAGTGCCCCCCAGGCAGCTCCACCAAACCGAAGCTAACCTGGGCCTCGCACGAGATATTTTGCCTTGGCAGCGCGCCTTCCGCGCCCTCCTCTTTAGATGATGTTGGCTGAACTTTGAATTCAAAAAAAACGCTGAGAAAATGCCCTACATGTTTGAGATTTCGCTAAAATACATGCGAGCAGTGCGAGCTGCGGCCCACTAGGTTTGTTGCAGCAGAATATCCAAAATCCCATGCCTTGAGAAGTAGCGCCACGCCTCATACAAATGCAACGTAATCGTGGCTTGCCCCTACAAGCCAGTCGCGGTTCCCGGGAAGTTGTAGCGCAGACCAGCCAGTGTTGGTTCAGGACCTGTCTGCAGGCCCGCCTGGGGTGAGGGATCAAACAAAAAACAGTTTAATCAAGAAAACCTGAAGATCAAAAAGAAACTTATTGGGGATCAATATTAAAAATCAAAACATCAAAGGATCAAACAACCTACAGTATTTGGAATCGAACAACACTTCATCATTTCGTGGCAGGCGCAGCACTTTCGCAAGGTCAGGTACAGATTTCGTGGCAGGAGCAGCATCGCAAGGTGAGTGCAGATTTCGTGGCAGGCGCAGCACTTGTTCGAAGAAGTGCTGATTCAACAAAGGGTGCGTTAATCTCTGTAAACATTCCACTAACCAGCGGGGGAGTTTTTTTTGGGGGAGGGGGCGGGGGGCGGCAGCCCCCCCATGATGTTCGAAGAAGTGATGATTCAACAAATGGTGCATCCGGGTGCATCCACCGATTCCCGAAACCGATATTGAGAACCTCAAAATGTCCTTGATTCCTTGATCCCTTCCTTCCTTCCTTTTCCGAGAAGACGTGTTGGCGCCAACCCCGAGGTTCGCCCACCCCCAACAAGTAGCCAGCCAACATGCACGAGACAGTGGTTAGGGTTAATTCAGTCTTCTTGGCCTTCAGGTGTGTGGCTTGTGGTTTTCAGGTCAAGTTGTTTGGGGTTTATGGTTCTAGGGTTAAGGTTTAGGGTTATGGCCTTTTACGGGTAAGGTTTAGGGTTTATTGTTTTAGGGTTAAGGTTTAGGGTTAAGGTTTTGGGTTTATGGTTTTAGGTTCAATGTTTTTTAGGGTTCAGGTTTAGGGTTTATGATTTTAGGGTTAAAGTTTAGGGTTTAGGTTTAGGGTTTATGGTCTTAGGGCTCAGTTTTTTCTAGGGTTAAGGTTAGGATTTCTGGTTTTAGGGTTAAGGTTTAGGGTAGGGTTAAGGTGTAAGGTTAAAGTTTTGTGCCGCCATGCTCAGGGCGTGTGGTTTGCGCCGCGCGCGCGAGAGTTTGAAAAACTTTCGCATTGCTTATATGGATGATATGTTTAAGGTATCTCCTAGGAATGCTTTTGACTTTGATCAGCACGCATGGCTGACCAATGTGCATGACGAAACGAAACATAGACACATACATGGAAAAACACACGTGAAACTGGACGTTGGGGGGCGGGCAAACCTCAGGGTCCTGGCGGACGTGTTTTTTGGATCCCTAATGTTTGATCCCTGTTACATTTTGGTTGATCCCTAATAAGTGCTATTGACGCCCACCCCGCCTGCCTTCAGGTGGCACAAGGTTGACCACCCGCACTCCCCTTCACGAAAGTGCGACTGCACAAACTGTGGGAAAACACATCCACTTTCTTTGTTCATCTCCAATTTCCGCGCCTGGTGAATCGATATAAAATATATACACACGCTGTACTTTATTGAGGTTACTCTGTCTGTGATGGGTCGGGGGTTGGCCATTTGCGCAGTGATTGCAGATGCAGGAATACTGAGCGCAGAAGGAACAAACGGGCGAAAAGTCGCAATCAACAGGTTAGTTCTTCAAACACAGCGAAGGAGCCCCAACGTTCAGTCACTTCCTGCTCGGAGTGAGGGGTCCCTGCTGTTGCGGACATTCACTGCACGCTCCTGAGTGAAGAACCACACATGAGTTGGCGCTGTGTAAATGCTGCGGCAATAAGCTCACAACCGGCCTCCATTCAATCCACGTCAAAAGTGTTTTTCGCCCGAGTCCTCCACACTTTTGGCATCCGGACCTCCGTCATGGCCAAACAGACTTCCATTGGCATAGCCCTGCAACTCCAGCTCCTGGCATCACTGCCGCGCAATTGCATTCCTCACAAAACGTATGTTATCGGGGCAAACGTGGCTGGCTGACTGGAGTCCTACTGCTACCTAGTTCAAACGCGGTTGCAATGACAAGTTGGGCATCGGAATTGCGGCATGTGCAGCACAACAGCGGTGGGTTTCGACCCTTGGCAATCACGTTGGAAGCTTGAGTCTCACGTTGGCCCAACAAGAACTTGTCTTTCGAGAAACGCACACAAGTCCCCCAATAAAACACAAAGGCCCCAAAGCTGTCCAATGCGCTGAGTCGAACTGATCTGAAAGCATCAACTTGTCTCGGCGCGGGCTGTTGCCCGTCCAGCATCATGAAAACCGAGTTCAGCAGGACGAGTGCGCCAGCCAAGTAATCCATGTAGGTTTGGATCCTCACAGAGTGGAAACTCTACTTGCCGCAAAAACGCTAACGAGGCAAGCGTTTCGAGCTCTTCTCATTTTCAAGTTGGCCTGAGCGACGTGAGCAGCGACACAGGCTGCCATGGTCTGTGTCAAAGAAAGCCGCACTGCTGTGAGACAAGCGGCCTTTGTCTCCAGTCCATGAAGTCCTCGAACTGCTGAGTTTTGGTCAGAAACTTGTCGAAAGCGGTATGTTTCCTGAAGGCGGTCCGAGCG